TATTACATATTTGGAATCCCCTCGACCAGGCGCGTCGAATGGCGTATTTGACTTGTCAAAGTTCGATAGAAAGATCGAAGTCAGATACAGTAGCGGTCAAAAGATGTCCCCTCGGGAGATCGCTTGGTGCTCGTAAACCACAGGTCTAAATTTTATGAAACGTCGTGTCTAGGTCAATTCAGCTGCGCAGAATCCGATGGCAACATTGAAATCTACTGAAAATTTGATTTTAATGGTCAAACTTCGATTTCAAAAAAATCTGTAAAAATAAACTTTTTCATGAGGGATTTTCGGGTTTCAAAAATGTGTCCATCGTGTTCACAAGGGTCGAAAACCACTAGTCCGTTACTTTACGACACTTTTCTGCCGGGGCCTGACCATACTGACGGCCGAAAGTTGCTGTCGCGCGGGCCAAAATCCTTTGGATAGACTTACGGGGGCCAGGAAAGCGCCCCGCGGCGACAACTTCTCGGCCTCATAGCAGCGAGCCTCAAAGAGATAAATGTTTTGAAACATGTTCGAGATAAGTTTCCGACCCTTGCGAACACGATGGACATATTTGTGAAACCCGAAAATCCCTCAGGAAAAAGTTGATTTTACCGATTTCTGTAAAAATTAAGGTTTAATCACTAAAATCAAATTTTCAGCCGATTTCAAGTTCACCATCGGATTCTCCGTATCAAAATTGACCTAGACACGACGTTTAATAAAATTCGCGCCTGTGGTTCACGAGTACCAAAGGATTTCCCGAGGGGACATCTTTTTGACCGCTACCGTACCTCCCTAGTAAGTCCGGGTTTATTCGGGCTCCCCTAGTGAGGATCGGCGGAGGGTGCGCAAATTTGGCGTCAGCCTTCTTTTAGCTAGCAGAAGTGTTGGGTTCAATTCGAGCGATCGGAGAGTGCATTGTTGCACCGTGTTGGCCGGACATATTCCCAGTGGCCTTCCCATTTATCGGCTGTCGCCCCGATGTCTTCAATGTTCGCCGTGTAAGTTCGAATTCTGAATGCGCAAAGGATAGCAAAATGCTTATTGAGTTCCCGAAAAAACCATGCGAGTAGCCTATGCCCATGTCCCCAAAACCCATCCGAAGTTTCGCCGTCTACCATCCAATCCAACCCAAAATTGGACCATATCAGACGCTAAATAACAGCCCCATACCTACAGTATGTAGATTTTGAATTCCAGCAAAACAAACGTTATTTTCCATTTATTCATAGGGTTTTGCTTGGAATTAGAGTCCGTAAACATTAATTGAAAATGATTCGGTAGGCCTTACTTACCTTAAGAATTTTTTCCCGGATCCTACTATTAATAAAAAATAGTGTTTGTGTGTGTGTGTGGGTGTGTGTGTGTGACACTTTGAATACAACTTCCGTCAGGGTGTCCGGAGGATATCTCGATCGGGGATGAATTTTAAAGTATGTATAATACGTCATTAGATGCGTAATGGCTCTGAGATGGCTGCACGCACATAAGATTTACCAAAATTGCCTATTTTCGACATTAAATTTAAGCTTTGTTAAAAAATCGGCGGCCTTCTTTGTTAGGAAAAATTAGCATGTGCCGGAAGCTTCGGTAGCCTATATACTGGGGCAGAGCGCCCGTTTCCATTTTTGTCCACGGAAATCCATGAATTATGCAAAGTCAACTATAACATGGGATCAGACGGGGCCAGGTTCGACAAGTCGCGAAGCGGCTTTTCAACCCTGGTTAAAATTAATAAAAGACCAAAGCGTCGATTGAAGCCATTTTCACAAGGCAAAAATTATTAACAACCAGATGGTTCCCCTTCATGTAATACACCTACTATCCACCTTCTTCTACTACCTACTTCGATACCTTCGTCATGGCTTCAGATACCCCCATAGCCGAAATCCCCTTCAAAAACTACTTAGATTCCATCCCGATACTTTTAATGATTTAAATAATAAATTAACATAATTAAAAGTTTTAAAGTAATAATTTTTAAAGTAATAAATAATAAGTTAATTTTAATAATTTAAACTAAAACTTTTCATAATTTTTTTATCAGTTTGGGGTTTCTGACCATGCTCTATCCGAATCCGAAGAGAGCTAAGCTCTAGATCTTTTCCCCCCTTCGAGTTGAATTCGGCTTCGGACAGACAGACAGACAGACGCGTCAAGAAAATTTTTATAGTTGATTATGGATTCACAGTCGGAAGTCGATGCAAATTGATGCAACTCCCAAAAGAATAGCCGAAAAGACTGTGTAAAATCGCGGAAAAGCAGTATCCTACCTTATATAATTTTGGCGTGTAACTGTGTGTGTGTGTGGAGGTCACTTTCGAGGCCCGATTTAAGGCCTTCCCTGGATAAAATGCGCTGATTTTGGTCACTAGGGGAATCGACCCTCCTCTTTTCGATGGCGTTCTCAGAATTTCGATAAAATACAAGTCTACAAAGTTAAAGTCGTATTCATTTTTGGGGTTAATTTGCATGATATGAAAAAATACAAATTTCCTCATTCTTGCAATTTGCCCGCGCGTGTGTGGTCGGTGTAGGGAAGCGGTCCGAAGGACCCGAGCTATCGGAAAGTCAAATTTTACATGCAAAGGCCCAATTCCAGCGCCCAAGGCCCGCGAAGCGGGTTTTAGGCGCTGGTCCTATCCTATAAGCGAGAAAAGTATATTCGTGAGTCGTAAGTTTCGTTATAACTCTAGAACGCCTGTAGCTAAAGGGCTATAAGTCAGGATTGTGGGGATTTACGGTCTGGTTTTGGGACCGATTGGATGGAAGGCGGCGAAATGCAGGCTAGGTCCTTTTTTTGGGACGCCCTGTATACGGGGTGTCCCACCCCCCCACCTCGGCATGGTCGTCTTCCATCCGTTCGGGACCAAATTTTTACCAGTGTTGGGGACCCATAAAAACTATGTGCAGCCAAATTTTCTAAGCAAAATATTGTAAAACGCAAAGTTATCGCCAAAAAACTAATTTTTGGGGAACGCTGGTACTAAATTTTGGCTATGTTTTCGCAATTAGCATGTCGATTTTGAGTGATTTTCCCAAAACTGGTCTGTTTCCGGTAGAGTGAGGGAGCGGCAGGCCTCCTCAGGCTTTCTTTGGCCGAATTGCATTTCCGCGCCTGCCGACGCCTGGCGGAAGCCTAAGGATTTACGCAGGCTTTTTATGCAATGCGTGAAAACATGTTAATCTGGTTACTGCATCTAAAAGCCTAGGCCTCCCTCACTCTAGTTTCGGGTCGGGTTCTCTCAATTTTGATAATAAAGTGATGAAAAATTCAAATTTAGACGTAATTTTCGTAAATCATAAAAATTTTCCAGGTGGAAATAAGTGCGCTCTTGATTTTTGCTAAACATTTCCGGGTCCGAATCCAACAAAATTGTAGTGAAATAGGCAAAACGAACATTAATTTCAATATAATTTTTTTGTTTCACAATATTTTGCTTTAAAAATTCGGCTGCCCAGAGTTTTTATGGGTCCCCAACACTGGTAAAAATTTGGTCCCGATCGGATAGAAGACGGCCAAATGCCGAGGGCGGGGGGGGGTTTGGAACACCCTGTATGTATTTATTACGAGGTAACTTTGAGCTTTATTTTGGCGATTTCAGGCCACTTATCCCGACTACTTCTTGCCCGGGGACCTACGCCCTGATCAGGTGAATTATTCATTCAATTTGACCGATATACGCGGGTAACTTCATAAAAGATGCAACGACAGAATGTTCCAAAAATCAACGTCTGCCGGTCTGGAGGAGTGTCCGATTAACGTCTCCATCTAAAACCCTGGGCATCCTACTATATACAAAAATAGTAGTTGTGTGTGGGCATGGGCATAACAAACCCGGGTTCCAGCCATAACTCGAAGGATTTTATGCTTTAAAAGGTCCGAACTTTACTAAATGGGCAAGAGTTTACTTTACCCCCCCAGCCGGAAGGTCCCAAAAAGGTTCGGACCCGCTCACGATTTGTATTTTTGCTTTTTGGTCCGGAGCCTCCTTCTTGCGTTCTGAAGGGAGGATGACAGAAGCGCCAAAGCAAAAGCGCCAACCACTAAAGCGCGCATGCAGAAGCGCCAAACGGGTGCTTCCTGGTTATCGGGGGTCGGTTATTTTAGCGGGGGTCGGTTGGCATCTTCTTTTCGTTTAGCCTATACCTGCCTAGTGATAAATTGTAGTTTATTTTAATACTGTTTTTAGTAGCTTCCGATAATCAAAAATTATAAAAATATTTATCCTATAGTCACGAAATCTAGGGTTATAGCGCGGTTTTAGCTATTTTCATATACGTTAGACCGACAAAGAAATTTTTTTCAATATGCTTTATGACGTTTTTCTTAATGTCTCCTCCCCCGCTAACAGTCCAGACCATTTCAAACGGCGCACAAGTCTATAAAAACGGCCAGTTTTTAATTAGCCGAGCCGCACGATATTATAGAAAAAAGTTCGCAACCGACCCCCGCTAAAATAACCGACCCCCGAGAACCTGGAAGCACCGCCAAACGGAAAGCGCCCAATACCAGAAAGCGCCCAATCCGAGAAAGTCCGAGTTGCCGTATGTGCACCTTCTCCATTCTGTGATTCTTATACTGTTTCTTATACGTTGCTTGCCAACGGCGCTCCACGCGCATGATAAATTAAAATTAAATTAAAATTCCAGCGCCCAAGGCCCGCGAAGCGGGTTTTGGGCGCTGGAATTACAATATTTTGAGCTGCCATAAAAAAATCTTAGTATATTTTTTGATGCTCTATCCGATGGAGTCAGAAAATCCCGAAAAAAATAATGAACATATCAACAACTTTGGGACGCACGGGCTCTATGAATAAAAGAAACGGTAACGGAACTGGAACGGGCACCGGGAAATGCTGTATGCAATTGCCGTTCACCCGGCCACCTTTAGACATAGTCAGAAACCCCACATTTTGCAGATAGATGCGTTGATGCGAGAGGCGCGAGAAAAGTTTTACGAGCCGTGGAACCAGCGAGTACTTATCTGGTCGATTTATACCGCACCACAAATGTTGCAGATCATCCGGGTGGGTTTCATTGATGTGGTTACGCCACACACATGCCCGGCCCGATCGGTTACGGATTTTGTTTTGGGCCCAAATTTGGAAACCGCCAACACGTAAATTATGACGCTGTTTGGAAGGGACGCGCGCTTGTCAGGTCGTTACTAGCGGAATATTTAGATTGGCTCTTATTCGTTATTTTAGGAAATGCTGGAGCATCGTGTTGGGCTAACGAATGGAAGGATGCGGACCGTAGCTTTTGGCGATACCGACATTGAGAATCAACCACAACATATCGTAGGTTCTTTGCAGCGAGGGAGAGAAAAAGAGAGACAGAGAGAGACAGAGTGAGAGAAAGAAGGAGAGAGAGAGAGAGAGAGAGAGAGAGAGAGATGACAACAAAAATGTGTTAAATAACAACAATCATTTCAGGATCTGGCGACACAAACCGGGGCGCTGACCGTGCTTGAAAGTGCATCCAACGCTGCCCTTCATATGCAGGCCATCTTTCACAAATATGTTGCCAAGGTCAATTATTTTCTGGGATCGGACGTAGCTCTCTTACCCGTTTTGGCTCGAGTACCTTTTTGGGCGTATCACGACGGCTCCGATTCATGAGCGCGGGATGTTTATCGGGCGTAAAGGTAGATGCGTGTAGATTTCTCAATATAATTTTTCGGGGACTACTTGATCGCGACTCGGTAAAGCATCAAAAAAATACACTACGAACTTTATTTCTAGACCAATACCACAATAGTTTAAGAAAGTTAATACAAAAGTTTTCGAAATTTTCGTTATCTTTTTCTGTTAGCGCTATTCGATAGAGCGTCAAAAAAAATCGACAAGTTTTTGATGCAGCTCAAAATCATGCATTTTAAGATAAGGAAGCAGGGACGTAGCGTAATACCGGCCCCGGGGGCCCGGGCCCCCGAAATCGGCCGGGGCCCGAAAATTTCATAAGGGGGCACCCTTATGATTTTCATTTTCTCAAAAATTTTGCTGCCTGCGGCGCTATTTTTCACGTTTTTACGGCTATTTTTAGAGCTATGTAACCTTTTTTTCAAAATTTTTTGCCTGCCGCGCTGTTTTCTCGTTAATGTTTTGAGTTTTGTGGAAAAATTTTTTGGGGCCCCCCCCCCGAAATTTTTTTCTGGCTACGCCCCTGTAAGGAAGCATTGACAAAAATTTTCCCCGATAGATCCCCCTCCCTAATAACGAACTAGAACCTTCAAGACTTATGCGAAAAGAGGTTGCGAGTGCAACTAGCACAAGTTGAATACAAGCTGTATACCGGGTGTTCCAAAAGGTCGCAGAAAAAAGGGCTTTTCGGAAAAGATTTTTTGATTTGCTATGCTTGCGCCATTAGTGAGTTGCCGAAAAAGGTAATTTTTAATAATAGAAAGTTATAAAAGGTCCGAACTTAGACGTCGTTTTCGTAAATCAAAAAAATGTACCCGTGTGCAAAACAGCGCGCTCTTCATTTTTGCTAAACATTTCGTGGTCGAAACCCGCCAAAACCCCCGTGAAATCGTGGAAACAAACCTTATTTTGCTTCATTTTTTGTTTTGCAATATTTTCCTTAGAAAATTTGGCTGCAAATAGTTTTTATGGGTCACCATCGTTGGTAAAAATGTGGTCCCGATCGGATAAAAGACCGAAAACTGCCTACTTTTTGGTATATATTTAACGTGCCCTTTTCCTACTTTTTTTGCAGGAATTCGGTCCGGAAATCGACACGACGTTTTTTCGATTCGAACCTCCACATAACGGTCAGCCATTAGAAATTGCGAGAAGCCAATTCCCGACATGATTTTATCGGAAAGGCTCCACGGGCGTCGGAAAGACCCTTCCCACGCTCCCGAAATTGTGTTGGCCTTTCAGATGTGGTGCTGATGATCCGGAGACATCTTCCTGATGCACGGCTTGCTCAATTACTCAGGGACGGCATTTTTATGGAACCGACTAATTCCGACTATTTTCGTCGTCGTCTATGTTCTGTCGAGCAAGTGACCATGTCGCTTATCAGCTTCCCAGCCGGAAACACTCGCAAGAATTTCCATTAATACCGCCGAATAAACGTTATTGCAAGACTCCAGTCGAGCCGCGTTCTGGAAAAGGGCTGCCCCAAGTAGTGGTACTGTTCTATTTCGAGCGGGAGAAAACTGTGCGGGGGAAAATTTGCGGAAAGCAATGTCTTTTTGCTATATCGATCCTATCCTATAAGCGAGAAAGTTATGTCTACTGCTGAGCAGTCGATACCTCAGCCGTCAGGCCGAATTTTAGGCTGAATTTTGGCCAGGACGTGGAGAAATGCATTTGCCAGACATGCATTTTTTTGCTTTCGAAATTCCGGTATATGTCGGTTATGCGGGGGGGGGGGGACAATTTTACGCGGGGGGACGGGACAGGCAGGCCTTTTTGGATGTTTTCGTTATTTTTTGGAATTTTTGCAACGGCATTCGATAGAGCATCGAAAAATATACTAAGAGTTTTTGTTTTAGCTCAAATTAGTGTAATATAAAAAAGTTGTGGCAAATACAAAAATAAGCTTTGAAAATCGGGCCAAGCGGCTGTTTTTCGAAATTCGCGCTATTTTTTCGCCATTTCAAAGATGCCATTCGATAGAGCATCCAAAAATATACTAAGAGTTTTAATTTTAGCTCAAAATAATGTAATACTAAATAGTTATAACAAAGACAAGTATTAAACGTTGTTTCCATGGAGGACATAGAAAGAAATCAGGTTTTCGACATTTTCGACATTTTCATAAAATTTCTTTAGTTCCATTCGACAGAGCAGAGCGTCTAAAAATATACTAAGAGTTTTGTTTGTAGCAAAAAGAAACGCAAAAAAATAGTTAGCTCGGCCCCAACAGTTCGTCCCCCCCCCCCCTCCCGCGTAAACCCCATTTAACAAAATGGGCGACGAGCCGTGGTGACTCGATGCCCATTTGGAATCTCGGCCTGGAATTTCGACAACCTATGCAAACGATGCGGGGGATCACGCGCGTTTTATGATCTTTACCAGGGTTGTTCATTTTGAGTCCGGTCCGCGTCCGTCCGCGTCCGGGACGGGACGCGAACCGTCCGTCTCATTAGCATAAAATAAGAAACTAGAGAAAATGCCGTAAATAAAGGTACTGGTCTATTAGCGGGGGGCGTACTGGACTATTATGAGCAGGGCTCCCCGACATTTGCGGCCCGTCACTTGCGCCCGACATGTGCGGCCCGTCCTATTAAGCTCGTTTTTCCCCAATGTAAAATTAAAAAGAGGGTTAGTAAGAGTCTAAAGCATTTTCAGGCAAGGCGGGCCGTCGCTTCGGATGGGCTGCCGCTCCACTTTTCGAAATCGGGGCGCCTCGGGCGCCCCGATTTCGAAAGCCTGTACGAGCTCGCACCCATCCGAAGCGACTAGGCCCCGGGTAGCAAGAAGCCTTATTTTTAGGTCAAGACCAGGGGACAAGCCCCCGTTCTGAAAACTGGCCTTCCGGACGGTTAAAAACTACAGTTTTGGGTAATTAACTGCAGCTTTGGGCCGCAATTGTCGGGCCGCAAATGTCGTGGCACCATGAGCAGGTAGGGTATAGGGAGAAAATAAGTGTAGACTGATAAGTCATATGAGGTTTAGTTACCCAATTATTGTGCTTGGCTGGTTCTGAGGTAATTCGTTCAGTTTATTATTACCCAATTATTGTCGCTAACTTTTTTTGAGGAAATTTGTACAACTGATGAAACACATTTTTTTGACGGCTGTTGGCGATTTGTCGAGTTTTTTATAAATAATCATGGCACCAGTGACTCTCGAAAATAATTTTTGGGAAAAGGCGAGGCATGCTAGCAGAGATTCTTTGAAGCACGCGTACAGCACGCTGAGCACGGCTTTATAAGACCTCAAAGTTAGAGCAGGTTTTATTACCCAATTATTGTCGCTAACGATTTTTGAGGGCTGTTGTTCAATTGATGAAACACATTTTTTTCAACGGCTATTCGCGGTTTCTTGAGTTTTTTGCCTTTATGGGAACCAGTGGTTCTAGACAACTGATATTATTGAAAAATCCGAGGCACGCTGGCAGAGATTCTTTTACAAACCGCCCAGGCAGCGCGGTTTTTTTTGAAGCCACAAAGTTAGAGTCGGGAAACGAATTTATTGTTGTTGGCCAGTTTTCAATTGAGATTGTCGACTACCGAAACACATTTTTTCAATTCGTAAAGCAAAAGTTGTGAAAATTTTGCCGATTTTCCATAGGTTTTTGACCAAAAAGTAAAAAAGTGAGGAATTTTTGTAATTTGTTATACGTTGTAAAATACAATTAAAAACCAGGGTTGAAAAACCGCTTCGCGGCTTTTCAACCCTGGTCCCGTCTTCTCCAATGATATTCTTGGCTTTGCATAATTTTCCCGGATTAGGATGACGGAAAAAGAAAAATGCTCTTGCCGTCCCTTTATATAGGCTACGGCGACTTCCGGTGTATGCTAATTTGATCCTAACAAATTGCGGTGTCCCATTTTCCATGAAAAACTTAATTTGAATGTCGAAAACATCATATTTTGTAAAATCTAATATGCGTGCAGCCATCTCCAGCCCATTACGCACCTAATGACGTATCGAACATACCCCTAAGTACTTCCCCCCTTGAGATACTACTGGAACACGGTGACGGAAGTTGCATGCAAATGCACACACACACACACACAGACACTATTTTTTTATATATAGTAGGATGGCTTAAATTTTGCTATAGGGCGGTACTGAATTACCGGGGGAAAACGGCTAAAAAACGCTCCGCCCGCTTAAAGTCCAGTACCAGGCCAGCTAGCAGTGACCATTTGCACCTCCTGGAAAGCACAGCATCGAAATCCTTTATTAACACGACATTTCATTGATAACCGTAAGCTTTATGTGGAACAGTAAATGTATATGGGTGCAAGTTGATGGGCGAGAGGATGAGAGAGGCTGTTAGAGGGCGAATGATGGGCGAGAGATCGGGGTAAGTGAGAGAGCACAGAGAGACAGAGAGAGAGGTAGATCTATGCTTTCATCTCCTTGGGAATTTCGGGTGTTGGTTCCTTGGACGAGGGCCCGGTGGCGGCCGGTTCACGCGATCGGTTCATCTTCTTCGCCTCGGCGAGGAACGTGTCGGCGCCCCAGGCCGCGTACCGCTGCGGATATTTTGTCTGAAAGTTTTTCTCAAGTGGTCCAAACTTGAAACATTCAAAATTAATTTTCGCATGACGGGGACGTAGTTTTCATACCAGTTCAAAAAAGAACAATAACAACTGAACCTATTTAATTCGTTTTTTTTGTAGAATATAACCATAAAAAATTATCTAAAAGCTATAGAAAAACTTTAAAAAATGTTTTAAGTCAAAATTTCGGGCAAAAATCGGACATTTTTGTCGAAAAATGTCGGAATTTTCTGATAACTATGTATAAAGTGTAATAGTTATAACCAGATGGTCACAGTCGCTTCGCGACTGCAACCATCTGGCCTTCGGGCTACCCTACATGTCTCACTCCACCACATCCTTTCCCATCTCCATCAATACCCCCCCCATGGCTGAAATCCCCTTCAAAAACTACCTACATACCTTCCTGATGGCTTCAGATACCCCCATGGCTGAAATCCCCTTCAAAAACTACCTAAATACCTTCCCGATGGCTTTAGATGATTTAAATAATTAATTAACATAATTAAAAAGTATTAAAAAGTATTAAAAAGTATTAAAGTAACTTAAGAAAGGGGGCGCGGGAAGGGGCCTGGGGAAGATGGGCGAAGGTAAAGGGGGCGTGGCCTCCCGGGAGAGGGGCCCCCCACTCGTTTTATTAAGACGCCACTTTCAAAGTTAATTTTAATAATTTAAACTAAAAGTTTTTCATAATTTTTTTATCAGTTTGGGGGTTTCTGACCACGCTCTATCCGAATCCGAAGAGAGCTAAGCTCTAGCTCCTTTCCCCTTTGAGTTGAATTCGTCTTCACACGGACGGACAGACACAGACAGACGGAGACCACAGCAAAATTATTATAGTTGATTAGCCGGTTAATTCCGTTCCACTCCAGGCAACACCCACGCATAGGTAGTCGAGCACGGTCGAGTGGATGAAGATGTACTGGCGGTCCGTTTGAATCGAGTGGGCGCGCTGGCTGCGGAGAAGCTTCACCAGCTGCGTCACCTAAAATAAAATACACTTCCAATTGCATAGAAGTTTTTATGGGTTAGATTTCAATGATGAGACCCAACAAATTAAATTTTACAAATTCTAGTGAACAAATAAAAAATTTAAGCAGGTAATTAAAACAAATATACGACACGCAATAGTGCCGTACATCACTACAGCCGCCATTGTAGAGGTTGCACAGCAGCCAGTCGATGACCAGCAGCGTGCCGGTGCGTCCGATGCCGGCCGAGCAGTGCAGCAGCGTTTTGCCCTGGTTCCACGAGTCAACCTGCAGAAAAAAAATTCGAAAACTAATTAATCAAATTCGAAAACATACCGTAGCAATGCTGCGAAGGAGGCGCAGCACCGTCTTGCCGCGCAACGGGACCCCGTGGTCCGGCCAGCGGGTGAATTGGATTAGGCTGAAACTTACTTGCTAAACAGAAAAACGTTTTAAACCTGGTTTTTACGATTTCTGAACCTAAAGACTATACAATTTTTTATTAAAAATTGCAAATAATATAATTTTTCGACTAAATTTCGACTTTCAAAATTTTTCCAAGTTTTTTGCGTTGTTCTTTTCGATATTGTCAACTAGAGTTGTTATAACTCAAACAAAACAAGGCCTCAAACAAGCTTGTTTGAACAATTCTGTTTGATAGGGATTTTGGAGATTCAAATCAAACATGTTTTGTTTGAGATGACCGTTGATCGCTCAAACAAAACAAGATTGTTTGAACTATTTGAGCAGTTTGAGTTTTGTTTGACCTTGTTTGAAATGCATGCTAATTTTGGATTTAAAACGAGTTTTTTTAGTATTTTCGCAATTAGCATAAATTTTTTCCGGTAAAATTTGTTTTTGAATATTTGAATCCACTTCTGGTCCATTAAAAACCCCCGAAAATCTAACAGTTCAGGGCGCTCAAACAAGTTCAAACAAGTCAAACAATCTTGTTTGATTTGATCCCCTGGAACTCAAATCAAACAGGGTTGTTTTGTTTGAAACTTTTCGAGCTCAAACAAAGCAAACTTGTTTGAGTTGTTTGAATAATTTGTTGTTTGTTGTTTGAGTTATAACAACTCTATTGTCAACCTTTAACGAAAAAAAAAACAGGGCTACCAAGTAGTTTCTAGAAAATTTGATAGCTACCGTAGCATGCGACTGTTCGAGCAGCCGTCGGGCAGCAGCTCGATGGTGAACACCTGGAAGCGGTGGTCGTCGGCGTCGAGCTTCTTGTTGGCGACGAAGAAGCGGCCGTGGTTCTGGAACTGGCCCGGCTTCTCCGGCCAGTACGCCGAGCCCTGTAACCACAAAAAAATTTCAAAAAAATTTTTACATCTTGTTCATAGCAATCAAAAACTACTAAAAATACCTTAAAAATAGAAGGAAACTACGCCAGTTAAACCGGAAACCCCTGCTAACCTTGACCCGGCCGTCCTCGATGACCTGCGACAGCTGGACGACATTCACAATCTCGTGCTCCCAAACCATCCGCCAAAAGTCGCCGATCGTGTTCTCGAGCGGCGCCTGCGTGGCGATGAAGCCGGGTGGGCGACCTTCCAGCTAAACCACCTCACTTTGCCCAAAACTCTCAGCCTACCCCACACCAATTAGCATGTATGTAATCGCCCTCGCCGGGCACCTCGGGCGTCAGCTTGACGCGCGTATCATCGTAGCACGACACGTCCGGGTATCGATTCTTGTCCGGGTTGGCGGCAAAGGCGGTCGTCGTCTTGTTCGTCGGCTGGTAGGACTTCAGGTCGGCCCATTGCGCTTTGAGCCCGAGTATTCCTGAGAACAAAAATATACTTTTTAAAACTGAATTATTTTACGGTTAGGATAAATATATCAAGAATAATTCGCAAAGCTTTAAGCGATAAAAGGGATCATTTAGGAAAGATCAGCACTTCGAAAATTCTAAAACATAATTTTACGCGAAATGCCATGCTTATATGGGCACTAGACTGCTAGCAGGGGAACTGATCTTCCACAGTAATCCTCTACGGTCCTATAACAGAATAGAAACGATTTTATAGCAATTTTGGCGCTTTTCGATCTGAACAGCTCATAAAAACTTACAAAAACTTTTGACTTTTGGCCAAAAATTTCGGAAAATTGACCTGAAAAACGTTCGAAAAGACTCAATTCGCGTCGTTCATTCTTTTTGGCTATACACAAAATAAAAAAAGTGGGCATGCATACCTGTAGCCAACGTCTGCTTCACCCACGCATCAATCCCAACGGTGATCGGATCGCTGGGCGTCACCGGCCCCAGCAGCGGGTTCAGCGGCTCGGCGGGCGATGGCGCAGGCCCTTTTCCGGAACCTAAAAAGGAATATAGAAGCGGAAAGAACCAATAAACCCACGCTGGCCCTCCTTGCTGCCGTTGCCAGCATTGGTGGCGCTGGCCCTCTTCTTGGCGCGTCCTTGGCGCCTCCTCTCGCCGACGGACGGCGCCTTCTCCTTCTGGTCGTCGTGGTCCTCGTCGGAGCGCTCCTCGTCCTCCTTGCTCGGCTTCGTCCGCCTCTTGCCCGTGCGCTTCTTCTGCATCGCGAAGGTGTAGACTGCCGGGCAATAGGTCCGGTAGCTGTTTTTATACTCGAAAACCTATTCGAATAAGATTTTCAGATGCGAATCACGAACGCAAAGCTTTCTTGTGTAAATATCTAGGTCTGTCGTTTTCCCTTTCGAAGTCTATAAGAGAAAATCTTTATTAGGCAGGGTTATACACAAAATACCAAATTAATACGGATGTACAAGAAAAGAGATCACAGGCGGAAAACAGTTACGGATCAAGATCCAAGAGAAATCACGACATTCAACATTCAATGGCTCGTCAATGCGGCCGGCTTTGCACTTGAACTTGGGCGATCTTGCTCAGCTTCTGCTCCAACGACTTGGACAACCGTTCCGCATCGTCGACGCTCGCCTCCAGTTCTCGCATTAGCTAGAAAAAGTTGATTGAAACCTCTATAACAAACGTATCTGGTTCGTTAGCGGGGGGGGGGGCATTTTCCAATGGTTTGTTTTTGCTCTGGTATTCAGGGTGCAGTTTCTTTTTTGATTCTCTATCGAATAGCGTTAAATAATGCCGAAAAATCGCAAAAGTCTCGAAAGTTAGCCCGCAAACCCCATTTTTAAAGGCCGTCCTTGCCATAACTACTTTAGATCACAGCATTTTGAGCTGTAAACAAACTCTATTGGATCACGGAATAGCCATCCCGAAAAAATAGCGAAAAACTTGGGACAATAACCCCGCCCCCGCTAACGAACCAGCACCAAACAAACGACAAACCTTCATCTTGTCATGGTCTTTCCGAACCATCTGCTCGTTAATTTCGGCCGTCGAGACCCCCTCGCTGGGGAACGTGTCGATGAGAATCTGGAAGGAAGAAGTTTTGGATCTTACACACAAAGAGATACCTCAATGTCCTTCGTCGTTTGCGCGATCAGCTTGGCGAACAATTCGCAGTTGGACTCGGTGTCGATTTCCTAAATCGAAAATACACATTATGGGAATCTTGGCGTTACTTGTGATGTCCCGCCCAGCTCACAGGGTGGGGCAATGGCTTGTAAGACGCCGATCGAGTTGCCCATCAGGTTCGCCAGCTCGTTGACGGCTTCTTGTAGTTGGGTGACACGGTCTGACATCTGCAAAAGGACCTATTTTTAAAATGAAACGGTTGATAAGTGCTTTCCTGGGTTCCGCTATTGATTTTTTTAACCAATTGTGTAGATTTTTGGGTTCTTGCGCATTATCAGGGGACTAAGCTTTTTCCTTACTAGCCAATCCAATTGTGTTGTTTCCAAATTGTATTTACTACTCCTAAACGTAAAGTTACTACTCCTTTAAAAATTCGACGTAAAAGATCCAAAAGGTAAGGTTTTCGACCAAAATTGCGAATTATTAGTCTTTAATAGTCCTTCACATGAACAGCCGTAAAATTTTCTTACAAGCATCATCAGATACTTGTTATTACTTTGCTAGGCGACCTTTACAACCGAACATCAAGCACTGAAATAATTCAATCGGTTATTGCGGCCGAAAGTGGAGACAAACCCAACTCAACGGTGTCATATGTATTTATTTCAGTGTATATATGTATCGTCGAGTCGAGAGATCAAATAAATAGTGGGAATCAGGTAGTTCACGAGTCAAACAACAAATATTTCCAAATGGGAGGCCAAGGGGGTGAGCAATTGAATTACGAATAAGTGGCAATGTTCAATTTTGAGGAGACGGACAGGGCAAGTCGAGACGGCTTCTCAGAAGGCCGTCGGTTCCTCGTAGTCGCACAGGGCTTTCAACTGAAATTCAAGGGTTAGAACAAAAATGAAATAGGACTAAAATAAAGAGTAAAAATGTCCTCCCTGATCTAACAGCCGGGGGTCCATGAATCGGGCTTCTTCCACTTCGCGTTCGCTGTTGACGACTTCCTGGAAAGAATAATTAAACATTGTGAAAATTTATGCTTTCGGAATATCGGGAATATACGAATTTCACTAAACAAAACAAATATAGATTTTGTAACAAAATTGCTATTTTTTTTATTAGCATCGAATTTTTCAAATAAAACTCGTGGAAGTTTTTCTAAACGGTATTTTTACGATTCCTAAACGTGAAAACTCAACAAATTTTGTTAAAAACGTCAAAAATATTGGGTTTTCGACCTCAAAAGTCCACTTTTCGCTCAAATTTCGATTTTTTTCAAAACTTTTTGAAAGGTTTCAGTTAGTTTTCCCTGTTGAAATCAATACTGAAACTAACACTACACTTCCTAGTGAGTGACAAAGCATTTCACGAATAATACAAAAAGTTCGATCCTCACCCCCGATAGTGCGAAAGTACCATAAAATTTGCTTACAGTGCCATCCCGTTCGATGAGTTCCTGCAACCTGAGCCGGATCAGCTTCTTCATTTCGGTCACGTAGTCGGAGTCATGATTATCTAAATCACAAGAAAATGGGTAAAATTAGAGTCCTACAATTCAGTAACGATGAGCTGACATCTTCGATTGGCTTGCCACGAGCTTTCGCTTTTCGTTTGGCGGTGTACTTGGTGTCGAGGATGCAGGCCAGCTCCAGGGCGGCGATAAGTCTGAAAAAAAAACATGAAAAGGGATGCGAAAGTCAAAAAATTCGGATTTTCAGATTAGAAAATTCTAACCCTCCAGGTAAAAATAATATAAGCGACAAAAGTATGTCTGTTTTCCGTTCAGCCGAACTCGGCCGCCAGGCCGAATTTCCGGTCTCATAAGCGGACTTCCATACGCTAACGCTCCCTTTTCCTAACGCCTCAAATTAAGTTCGTACTGCTCACCGCATTGCCAGCGCGCGTCGAGATCCGGATTGTCGATGGGTATGTAGTCCTTCTCCTTCGTGTTGCACGCGACGAGCTCGTGAAGCATCGAATTCAGCTGCCTAAAAAAGGAAATTCCTTTCGCAACTGGAAACTAACTTGAACTCGCGAATTCTGGGGCTGGCACGCTGGACGCAGAATCGGATGAGGGGGCTCAGCTCGAAATCGCGGTCGTACGGGTCGATGACGTCGTGGTTCTGAAACAAAAGTTTTCGATGAATAGGTAGGTTCTGGTTCGTTAGCGGGGGGGGGGGCAAACCTGCATAGCAATTAAAAAAACCACTTTGGTACCGTTTTCTTAGCTTAATATTGCTAAAAAGTGATTATTCAAAAACTTCAATTTTTGACGAAGCCAATATTTTTCGCAAATCTCGTACTTTTTTGATCAATTCGCTATCTAAACAGAGCCGAAAATTCGATTCAATAGATTTTATCCTATCCCATAAGCGAGAAAATTTCGATATACGGCAACTAGGAAACCTTGAGAAGCCAACCACCCCCCCGCTAAGGAATCAGAATCGAGACATCATCAACAACCGCCTGATCCAGTCCGGCCAGCAAGTCCTTGATCATGATGCGCAGCAGATGGCGTAGGTACTGGAAAAGGATGTAACTAGCTTGGCACCCAAAAATACCTTGTCCTTGTAGGTCGGGTCGGTCCAGTCGGCGTCGAAGACGAAGACCAGGAAATGGCAGCACAGCGTGGCCACTAAAATCAAGATTATAATATTCAAATGCTCATTAAAAATCGAACAGAAAAACTCACATTCGCCGGTGAGGAATTGCCGCACCGACCATACCCATTCTATGAATTTCGCCTCGAGGGCTTTGGCCAGCTTTTCGTAGGAGCGCCGGTAGAGGTCCATGCCCTGAACGAGAGAGCAAGTTTTTAACAGAAACAAAATCCTCATACCTTGATGGGATTCATGTGCTTGATCGTCTCGAGGACAAGTTGAAGCTGATTTTCGTGGGCATCCGCATCGATGAGGGCGATCGCCACCTCACAGCACGACTGGATCATACCCTCGCATACTTCTAAAACGCACCATCAACGTTGCTTTAAAAATTCAACTTCAATAAAATGAATTTAGAAACGTTCAAATACAAATATTTTAAAAGTTTAACAAAATGTGCGCATTTACTTCAGAGACACAGCGGTGGTAACTAAATTTCGAGATAGTTTCTCTTTTTGCATACATTTTGTAAAAAAGACGCATTTTTTAATTTCAGGCGAAAAAACCGAGCTGCTCGAAAATTTTGCGAAAAACCTTCAGAACAGTTTAAAATTTCTTACAATCGTTTCACCGATTTTAAAAACGCTTTCCACGTTTTCATACCGAAAAAAGTGCACTCACCATCCGGGCTTCT